TGCGGGGGCTGTGCTGGAGGGGGGATGGGGGGTGGTGCATGTCCCCCACCCCCCTGCTGACGGGCCGTCCCCGCAGGTGACACACACGGTGCACATGAGCACCCTCGGCCCCTCCAGCTACCGCTTCAATGCCACCTTCGTGGGGGACCGGCAGCTCAGCCCCACCGAGGTGAGGCCCAGGGGTGGGCCTGGGACGGTGGGTGGCCTCGGGGTGGTCCTGGGACGGTGGGTGTCCTCAGGGTGGCTGCCAGGCTCTGAAACGGGGGCGGTTGGGTGTCACGGAGGTGCCACCAGGGTGGGTGACAGTTATCCCTGGGCGAGGGGGTCCCAGCCCACAGCTCAGTCCAGGGACAAGGGGGGGGTGGGGGTGTCCCTGTGCCCCCAGGTGACCCCCCCGCCCCGTCCCCAGGCCTTCCCCACGCTGGTGGGGGACATGGACAACAGCGGCAGCCTCAACGCCCAGGTGCTGCACCTCGTGGCCGAGCGCCTCCGCACCAAAGCCGTCTTCCAGGTGGGGCCGGGCGGGAGCAGACCCCGGGTTTGGGGGTGCCGGGGGGGTGTCTCAGTCTCAGTCCCCCCCCGGTGGTGGCGGGGACGGTGGCAGGACCCGCCGCGCTGCCCGTCCCCCCACAGACACACCAGGCCAAGTTCGTGACGTGGCAGTTCGACGGCGAGTACCGGGGGGATGACTGCACCGCCACCCTCACGCTGGGCAACCCCGACCTCCTCGGCGAGTCCGGTGAGCGGGGCGTGTGTGTCCCCCCCTCCGACGGCTGCCGGAGTCCCCCCTGGGGGGGTTGCTGAGCGCTGAGGGCCGTGCTGTGTCCCCGCAGTGATCCTGGTGGCCCATTTTCTCCAGAGCATCACCTCCCGCCTGGTGCTGGGCGGGGAGATGGTTTATCACCGGCGGCCGGGGGAGGAGGGAGCCATCCTCACGCTGGCAGGCAAATACACGGGTACGGGGGGGCTGCAGGCACCGGGGGGGCACGGGCACGGCCCTGGGGGGGACCCCTGGCCCCAGGGGGTGCCCTCCCCCTTCGCTTTCCTTCCCTTTTCCAGCTCAGAAGTGGGTGGCGACGCTGAACGTGGGGTACGGTGGTGCCCACGCCAGCTACTACCACCGGGCCAACGAGCAGGTGAGTGTGTCCCCCTGTCCCGTCCGTGGGCCCCCCCACATCCTTGTCCCCCGTGTGTCCCTGTCCCCCTCAGGACCCCATGTTTTTTTGCCCCCCTCAGGTGCAGGTCGGGGTGGAGCTGGAGGCCAACACACGGTTGCAGGACACCACCTTTGCCTTTGGCTACCAGCTCAACTTGCCACAGGCCAACATGGTCTTCAGAGGTGAGCGAGGAGCCACGGGGGCCACCCGGCAGCCCCGGCGCTGGCCAGACCCTCACTGTGCCCCCCACCCCGCCCCCGCAGGGCTCCTGGACAGTAACTGGAGCGTCGGGGGGGTGCTGGAGAAGAAGCTGCCCCCCCTGCCCGTCACCCTGGCTCTGGGCGCCTTCCTCAACCACTGGAAGAACCGTTTCCACTGCGGCTTCAGCGTCATCGTGGGCTGAGGGGCCGCGGGGGCCGGTGGCACGTGCCACCGTCCTGCTCAGGGAGCCACCGCGCCGCAGGGGGCACCGGCCAGGACCCCCACTCTCGCACGGCGGTGCCGGGGGAGCCCGCGGAGGGGGGACCCGGTCCCTCGTGGCCAGGGGACACTGTGTGACGGCGCGTGGTGGCCGTTGGCACCTTTGGGCTGAGGATGGGGGGCTCCGACCCCTCTGGCGCTGGCCCGGGGTGCCCTCCTCGCCCCGGCACTGCGCTTCCCTCCGGGCACACGCAGCCACGGAGCCTGGAAAAATAAAGGAGCTTTACTTTGCCCTGTAAAGTGCGGTGGTGGCCAGTGTCCCCCCGGGGGCCGGGGGGTGGTGGGGGGTCTAGCTGATGATTTCGGAGAGCAGCGGCGTCATGGAGGACAGGTCCTGGATGTGGAGGATCTGCCGGGTGTTCTCCACCTTCAGCGTCTGCAGCTCCGTCAGCAGCAGCAGCAGCTTCGCGTAGAGAAACCTTTTTTTGTTGGGGGAAAGCGCCTGGCTCAGACTCGGTGACTGCCCCCGCGGTGGTGGGGGACACACACCATTGTGCCAGAAAGCCCCCCCCGACACCCGGCACCCCCCGTACCTGCCCTCGGGCATGGGGTGCTGGTGGTCGATGTAGCTCTTGAGCGTCAGGGCCACCTTCTCCTGGAGCTGGTCGATGAAGTCCCGCTGGGCGATGCTGGCGTGGTCTGGGGGTGTGGGGCCGCATTAGAGGGGGCGAGGGGATGCCCCCCATGCCCCCCCCCTCCCCACGGGCCCTACTTGGTGAGAAGAGCAGCATGGCCTGCAGCAGGACGTACTCGGCCTCGTGGAGCTGCAGCTTCTTCAGGCTGAGGTGGAACTTGAGCAGCGGCTCCAGGTAGATCTGCTGGAACCCGGCTGGGGGGAGC